AGACACCCTCTGAGGTAGGCTGGGCTGAGAGAGCTCTGACAGAACTGCCCTTGAGAGAACAGCTCTGAGAGAACTATGGCTTGCCCAAGGTCATCCAGCAGCTGCAAGTGGAGGAGTGGAGGAATCAAACCCGGTTCTCCCAGATTAGAGTCCGCCCACTTAACCATGACACCAAACTGGGTTGCCACAAAGGACGGAGTTTGCTGTCAAGAACGAGCTTCTCTCTGGTTCTGTGCCGCCTGAATACCCTCACCTGCCGACAAACACGAGATTTCTCTAGCAGGTACTGCTCGATCTTGGCTCCCTCGATGGCGCCTCGCTTGTTGAAGTGGATGTCGATGTATTTACCGAACCGGCTGGAATTGTCGTTGCGAATGGTCTTCGCGTTCCCGAAAGCTGGTGGTGACCGAGAGAGCACAGCGTCATTCGCGTTTTTATAAAAGGAATTCATTTGTAGGGCTGTCACTAACCTAAGGGTTGCCCACTTCAGCTTGGGAGCCTGGAGAGGGCGGGGTTAGAGGGCGGGAAGGACCTCAGTGGGGCATAATACCATAGAGCCCACCCTCCAAAGCAGCCATTTTCTGCAAGGGAACTGATCCCTATAATAAGAACATAAGAAGAGCCTTTCTGGATCAGACCAACAGTCCATCTAGTCCAGCATCCTGTCTCACAGAGCGGCCAACCAGATCCTCAGGATGTCCAACAACAGGGCAGAGAGGCCAAGGCCTCCATAAGAACATAAGCAGAGCTCTGCTGGACCAGACCAATAGTCCAGCATCCTGTTTTACACAGAGGCCAACCAGTTCCTCTGGAGGGCCGACAACAGGGCAGAGAGGCCGAGGCCTTCTCCGATAAGAACCTAAGAAGAGCCCTGCTGGATCAGCCCAGTGGTCCATCTAGTCCAGCATCCTGTCTCACACAGTGGCCAACCAGTTCCTCTGGAGGGCCAACAACAGGGCAGAGAGGCCGAGGCCTTCCCCCGATAAGAACCTCAGAAGAGGCCTGCTGGATCAGACCAGTGAGGGTCCATCTAGT